GCTGTTTTTTTAACCGCATGCAGACGGTCTTATCCTGACAGTGACAGAGAAACAGAAAGCTCTACAACTTTTTTCTGAAAATAAAAACGTACAGCATTGAGTGAGAAGAATAGAGAATGTTGAGGCTACATCAGCAATGTAAAACGTGAAAACAAAAAAGAATTAATAAACCAACAGAAGCAGTTACTTTTTTTTTTAACCGAAGAAAAGAAAAACCAATCCACAAACAAAAACAGTATGATATCACACAGTGAAGTAACAAACCTCTATGTGGTAGTAGTGGACCATCCGTGAGTGAGTGTGTGTGCGTTATCGCGTGTTTGGTCAGTGTGGCCGTCCTCAGGGCCTCAGGTGCAAACATCCAACGCTCCCCGTAACACCAGGAACGAGAATAAGATTGTAAAACCAACAGTAGCACAATACTCAATAGATCCGTGGTGCGAGGGAAGAAATGTTGTGTTGTTGAACAAATAGGATATAATGATATAATATAACCACCGATTTAGAATTAGATAAGATGATTGGATGAAAATGAACAAAATCCTGGTTGTAGTTGCAGTAGAAGAAGTACCTCCAGCACGAATTAAAAACCTTCAAAGTCCGTGGTTATGACGAGTTGTATATCACACAAGTCCTCAAAATCAAAATCCGATATAAGATCTGCACGCGGGAGTGAAAGTAAAAACTTTTCAAAGATATTATAATAAAGCAGGCACGCATCCACACACGAAGTAAAATGTTCCGAGTCGACTACAACACTGACGAGCAGCGGCGAGACAATAGCGGATCTCTTAGGCCGTGTTTCCAACACATCGCTCGTTTATCAGGCCGGCGCACTAGAGGCGCGAGTATCTCCAAGTAAGCTAACAGGCCCTGCCTGCCTGCCACAAAATGTACCTCTCCCCAGCTCTGCACTCGCCGCGCGCGCCGTAATGGTCAATCGGCCGCGCTGACCAGTAGAGTGGAGTGGAGTGAACCGAGCGGACCGAACACAACAATCCGTCCGCGGGAGGAGGAGGTGAAGGAGGAGGAGAAGAAGAAATGTAGCACTGGCAGCGGCAGTTGTAGTAGCGGCGGCGATGCGAAGCTAGCGGGTGCAAGTCTGCAACTGACTGCTGGTCCGCTGGGCCGTGGAGTTGTGTGTTTGTGAGGGGGTACACCGATTCAGATAAACGGCATGTCATAATTTGCATTCACTCTTCCCGCGTACTTGATAGATGACAGTTTGCAATCAATAACTCGCGGCAGATTTAAGTCAACGACTGGCTAGCCATATGGTGGGTTGCCCCCCTCTCTCTCACTCTTTCTCTCTCGCTCACTCTTTCTCTCCTTTCGCTTCCAACACTATCATCCCCTCAGGGTAGAGGTGGTGGTGGTGGCGATGCTGCAAGCAAAGTGAAAGTGCGGTGGTGGTGGTGGGGGAGGTGGCGGGGAGAGATCAGAGCGAACGAGAGAATAATCGGAGAGGCATATCGGCAGGCGGTACCCTCCTATCCTTTCCGCGAGGAAATCTCAACATCCATCCAACATTCCGAGCTGAGCAGAAAACGCAACAACTAGTGGTGGTGGTGGAAGCGAGTGAGTGAGCGACATGAGAAGAAACCCCCCTCCCTCCTCCCTTGTCCCTTCCTCCCTCCCTGAACAAACCCACCACCCCCCTCTCCCTCTCTCACTCTCGGTTATTTCTACGAGTTCTTCCGACGCCAGCAGCGCGCGGCTTGTTGCATTGTTCGTGCGTAAATTTCATTAGAATCAAGTGGCTTCTCACTGTATGCAAGCCATGCATGCTTCCTGCGCCTCCACGCGCGCGGGGGGAGAGCGGGAGAGCGGGCAGAGAGAGAGAGAGAAAGAGAGGGGGGAAGAGGTTGGGGAAGAGAGAGAGAGAGGGGGGCGTCGGCTCCGCGAGCCCGCCCGTCGCTCCACGGCACCGCGAAGGGGCAAGCGAGCGTGTTTTGTGGGCGGAGCAAAGCTTTGCTCGCCGCGGGGAGGGACTTATCTCTCCCTGGTTGGGACGCAACAAAGCGAGGCGGGGCTTCGCAGCGCTTCCTCGCACCAAACGATACACCAATAAAGTCATCAAAAACTTTAATGACGAAAGCGCGTGGAGAAGATGCTCACCTTCAA